AGTAAACAACTATTTTGTATTAGGAATTATTATTTACTAAATAACCCAATCATAAATATTAATTGCCTCTTTCTCAGAAATTATTACTTCTTTGAGATAACGTAAAAGTCGCTTCATAAACCGAAGGTTTACGAATCCTTCCAGTGTTTTATACACGTCCTAATCAGTATTTTATCATTACGGTCTATTGATATGTGGATTTTTTTTAAAAATTAACATACCATGTGTTAAGAAAGAAGTTATGGATACAGGTGATAATTTCTTTATTAGTTGGGTATTAAACATTTGACTACCGACCTAATTCAGTAATCACTATTATCAGATATTCCAACCGGTTTTCATTTCTTTTTCCAAATACTTCCTTTTAATGAGATACATTTAATTAATCGTGTCAAGATAACTAACGACTTCAATTCAAGGTCTACTTGATCGGATAACAAAAATATATCCCAATACACATTCACTAACAGTAGCATTGCACGGTAGTGAATTTAAATTGCGGTATTTTTCTTCAAAAGTCTACATTCTTTTCAAGACTAATATTACATAAAAACAATTATTCATTATTATTAAATTTCAAATGTGAAAATGCAAATTCTGACATCCAATCAAAGCACTTGATGCTATTTCGATTTCAACTAATCAGATTGCTAAGATGAACAGTTTATGACCAATTACAAAATTATTAAAGGTGACAAAATTTTTGTTCTTTTTCAACTGAGAATAACATTCAGCGACCGGCTTTTTTTTAATTTTTTTGATAATGTTTTAATGTTGATTAAAATCAACTGGTTGAAATGAGCACTGATTTATTGTTTTCGGTAACCTGCACACAATGAGTAAAAATTCGAACTTTTATATTGATCCACAACCTGTTTTAATAAATTTCGAAGAACTTAATGGTTTGGACCTTAAAGTTTTCCAATCAAACGTATGCATGGGAATCCAAATACCCTCTAAAGTATTAAAAGTAAAAATCACACTGGATAAGATATGTTACCTAATCACGATGGCATTTTGCAATACTATACGAATTACCTTCAAATGAAAAGTAACCACAAAATTCACTTGATATTGTTTTATTTGAATCTTCTCATCGATATTTAGGACTGAAATTGTTCAGTCTTTTATTGGCATATGTGCATACTGTGCGTATGCCTCGATATTGCCTTAATTTCCATCTTTGCTTATAACCACAAAATGTTAAACATTAATTAAAGTGACAAATAATTTATTATTACATAAACATTTTAAAGGCCAGCTAGAGTAGAACAAGCAGACGTGTAAACTCTTTCAATTTATTACATTTACAGACTTGAGAGAAGTGTACATTTGAATCTTCTTTAGATTATAAAAAATGAGATTCTTTGTTGCAATCTCCGTACTTAATGCTTTGCAAGACGTTTTTATGATTCTTCAATTTCAATATACTTTGAATTAACACGAAACCGCTAGGAATTTCTTATTTTCATTATTACTACTGTTTTTAGAATTTCCGTTTAATATTTTTATTATTTGAACAGTTAGTTTTGCATTTCTTCTGTTTTACATTGCCTTTTGTTCATTCGGCGTCGATGTATTATTATTCAACTTAGTAATTTAGATTGTTCTCTCTTCGTAAAATGATCTTTTTGTCTGGTCACTTATCAAAACTGCGTTTATAATGCCGGGCAATCTAGTACTATGAATTTAAATCCGAAGTGAACAACAATTCTTAAAATTTTGTTTTCAGTTATATATTCTGAAAACAATCGATTTTTAATATATATATTTAGTTTTGTTTAGTTCTGTAGTGAAACAAAATTTACTATCAAGCAGTTAAATATATATATATATATATATATATATATATATATATATATATATATATATATATATATATATATATATATATAAGGATATATTTTATGTTTTCAATACACTATGGCACCTGTTTTTGTAAAACGATCGTGTTAATTTCTTAATATATTTCTGTATCAGTCACCATCATATAGAAAGAGACCTATATCTGTTTAAATAAATCAAGATTATTCATTAGAATAGTTTCCGATAAATACTAAATATATTTCTTGACAGGCGAATCTAACTCCGATTCAGGTAGTAATGAGACTACAAACGAATATGTTTTCACCATATTATTATATACTAACCACATTGAATGTTCCTACTTTCTATATACCTGGAACAAGTAATGACATATTTTGAATATCATATAGTTCACTTCACCAGTAACAAATCGTATTTTTGAACAATGATGAACATTATTGTTTGAGATTTGGGAAATTTCTAAATATAAATCTCCAGATATTTCTTTCCGATTGACCAATATTTATTTTTTTTTAAATAACGGTGATTCTGTAATAAATTTTGGATAGTTACATTTGATTTTCCGTTTAGTTGCATTGATTTGATCAACTGTAATAAATATTAAAGTTTCCGAATTCCATACCCCTTATCAAATTTATTTATGAAGTGTAGCTTAGAAGGTTTACCCAACAAGGTAATACACGAAATTCTTCTGAAAAATTTTGATTGGTGGAATTTAAATGTCTGGAGTCAGACGAACAGCGCCAGTGGCAATGAGTGATGGTCACACAAAACGGTCGATTGATCGAAGTTATTTATCTAAACCATTCGATGTCAACTTACCGGTATGAACGCTATACGCTTTCTAGGAAGACTGAATGTTCAGGGTCCGATCCTTGCTGGAGTTGTGTAAGAGCATCGACGAGGACTTTAATAATAGGACGAATCATCTCTACAGTGCTTCTTGTTTTTCAATAGTTGTCTAGCTGAAATTAGTCCATGGTGTTAAACTACAAGGTTCAAAATTTCACAGAAAATAATCGAAGTTATTTAAACTAATGTCTTGAATGAAATAATACTAAGTTAACCCAGCCGGTCCCATCATTTTTAACCATTGATTGACCATAAATCAGTGACTTCATCATACGATATCATGTCTTGTTCTATCAATCTTCTCCCAGCCAACGCCAGACAGTATGTCATGGAGAATGATATTAGATAAGAGTGATGTATTCTTCGGTAATCTTTTGCTGAAGGTTCACAGATTATCCAATGAAACTCCCATATAAATTACTTAAGCAGTTAGTTTACCATAAAAAAAGAATAAATATACGACATCGTACTTGTTTTTAAACCGTCAGCTTACTAGGTTTGATAGTACTCAGTAACTAGGGGATTAATCACTGTTCTCAAACATTTTACTACTTATTGTTAGATAAGGCACATAATAAAAGATCTCGCTTTTTAGTTAGAAAGAAGAGCCTTATGTGTTATGGTATAGTAGATCAAAGTGTTTCTTCAACATCAATAAAACCCACCAAGCTGAGTAAAATGTCTACTAGTGGGCGGTGCTTGACATAGTGATCTGACGCTTCCACGTCTTTAAAGTTAGTCAAGTCTTGAGACCTCAATACTTGGAGTTTGAAATTATCTTGCTTCAAAAGCTTCAAAAGTACAAGATGTTTTAAAATGTTAACATAATTACATATAACATTTACTTTAAATTCGAGTACTTCTTACTTACTTTTTTACGATTAGTGGCTCTCATTTCAATGATGAGAAAAAAATAAGATGGTTGTTCAAAGCTATAGTATAAATAATGACATCTGCAATCCAAACAATGTCATTTTAAATCTAAGAGGACTTCCAAACAAATAAGAATGATTGATTTTCACAAAAAAATTTAATTAAATGTTAATTCTCATAGAACGATAGGTTTATGAAATAATCCACTAATTTTGTCATTAAGGTGTATGAGAACCGTGGTATCTGTGTTATTCATGATTAAATCTATATTCTAGAAAGATGGTTATCAATGTAATTATTTTGAATGATAATGAATAGTAAAAGGAGGTCACCAAATGTTAATTGACAGTAGTGAACAAGGCGTGTTAATAGTTTATTGTCTACTGGGTACTTTATTTCAATAGTAAAACATTCAATGTAAATCAAGAACAAAGGATAGTGGGATGAGGTGAATTCAATCATTTATATCCTCTAAATCTTCCAAGTAAACAGCAACTTTAGAAATGCTTCTGCATGCCTGGACTGGTTACTCACACGCGTGTCTTATTAAATAACCTTTAATGATTATTATTTTGATCAGTTTATTTTTCTAAATTTCGACCTACTTTTTATATCGAAGTAATTGTTTGTGTAACACCCAAAATATCACGTTTGCTAGTGAATAGTCGTAATTGCCCTCTAAATTCATACAAGTTCAATTTATGGACTTTGAGAATAGGAGGGAAAGAGAGATCATGATGTAATCTAGAACAAGAAACATGTGCGTATTCTTACTGAAAAGGGTACCCAAAATAATAGAATTCATTGTAATTACCGAAAAATAGTGATCATTACATTTGTGATAGAAATATTAATAATTAATGACCGTATGAGAAAATGCAAATACTTGGATAGCTAAGTTGATAAAGGGTAAGACGTTTTTTTCTAGTAATGTTAAAAATAATGAGGCTAGTTACAATAATTATTGTTAGAAACAAAACCTAAATGAACAATTTATGTGTTTTATCATACTTAACTTACCGATGATATCTGAATAAGAGGCTAGCTCAAATAATCTCGAAGTTCCTGTACTCGTAATCAAACTAATGAAATCGTTAGAATAACTGTGGTAATGGACACTAACCGAAATCAACTTCTGTGTATCGCATCATTTGAGTTTGAACTGATTTTAGCAAACACTGTAGGCGATTGATATTTCCGTTGTACGATTTTATCGAAAACACCAATTAACTTAGAAACATCGAATCAATGAATCTGTTCCGGAAATCGACACTTAACGTTTTTCTGTCAATCTATTTAGTTTACTAGAAATTATTATAATTACCGACTTGATACATATATATTTGCATAATAATGCAGATACAAGTGATATGTTGTATGTATGGTGTTTTTCATTCAAGTTGAAATAATGACTTATTAATAAAAAAGATTACATGCAAAACATCCTCCTAAAATTTATTATGGTTCTAGTTGGTCTACCGGTTTAAATTTACAAAATCAAATTTTCTTCTAAAATTATGTTTTAATGAACATATACTTATATATCGTTTAAGACTAATAGCACTGAGTAAATATGATCATTTATATTATGTTTGAAATTGCAAATTTCTAATTTAGTTAAGTAAAATCTTCATGTTACTGTTTCACTGTTGCATTCCTAGAAACAATATTTGCATTCAAGAAAATATAGTGAGATAAAATTGTGCAGAAAGTGAATTTACGAGTATTAATATAAGAATTTTTAACAGAAAATAATTAAAATAAAATGAAAGCTTATTGAATTTTGATAAAAAAATTTTTATTTTTCTGTTTGATAATTATTTGAGACTTACAAAAATATCATATAAGTAAATTTTCACGGAATGTACACAAGAAACAGACGCACTAATATAGACAACATATTTTCAAGGACACCATATAAGAATTTGTGTAGACATTTTACATCGACAATGAAGAATATATGATAATTTGTGTAAGAAACGATGGATGGAATAATTTTAAACGTATTTTTGATGGTAACTAGGATATATATTTCTTTATCGAAACTTTTTTTTGGATACAGAGTTTCACAATAAAATGTTAATTGTGTATTTTTTAATAAAGCATTTAAATTGCTATTAAGATATTGTACAATCTAGATAAACTAAATCTGGTTTACATTTGTTTGTCTTTCCACTAGATCTTCGACTTAAACGCAAACTATTACGAAAGATTCCTTGACGAAACTTTGAATGCTTTCGTTCAGTTATATTCACATCAGATAATTCATTACTAAGAGTATTAAGATTGATATTACTATCATTCGATGCGACCGTATTATTAGGTACAGTACCACTAAGCGCAGAAAAATCTGTTTCTCTTATTCCAGTGGGCAACATATTTCCCGATGTATTACTGATTGTATTACTGCCAATACTAGTAGTTATTCCGGCTTGTTGGGTATTACTCAGACTAGCTCGTCTAGTACCATCCCATTTAACCAACGTTATTGCCTTACTCACATCATTTTGTAACCATAGTGATTCAAATATTGACATAATTGAGTCGTTTGTTTTTGCACTAACATATACGAATTGTGATGGCTTTAAACCATTTGTAAGCAACCATTCCATTATAGCACCTTCACTGATTTGTGAATATGAATTTGGTAAATCGGACTTATTGCACACAACAGTAATTGGTGATGCCATGTTCATGCTAGGTACACAATCTTCATTTTGCTCATGTGATAGATTTGAAGTTAGAGAGACATAATCTTTACGTTGAGATTTAATTTGTGATAACAGCTGACCAGCTTGTACGAGTGAATCAAGGCTATCATGAGCAAATACAATAACAAATGCATTTGCTTTACTTATGCATAACCGCAACATAGCTGGAAAATCATAACTGCCAGCTGTGTCTATTAAAACAAGTTTTACTATGTGATTACGTACTATGAACTTTTTCAAGTGAATATCCTCAACGGTTGGTATATATTTTGTTTCGAAATGGTTATGGAGAAAACGCTGAATGATTGAAGTCTTTCCAACTTTAGCTGAACCTAAAAACACTATTCGTACTTCTTCATCAGCTTCTGATGGTGTCGATGATGTAGGTGTACATTGTGGTATCGTTGGTGAATTATTTACTGGTACATTTTCTTGTTTTGTTTCAGATAATTTCATTTGAATTTGTGGAGGCTTAGTATGGCGTGATATAGATGAATTCATTTTTCAGTATCTTTCTTCATTTAATATATTCCTGAAAAAAAGTAGTTTATTATTTAAATATCGTCTGATGACACAAAAATCATTAAAGAAGAATGTAAAAAAAGTGTTTATTTTTAATAAACCTATTATTTACGGTAATCGTCTTCATGCACTTAAATGAATTTACTAGAGTGCTTACCTATTATTATTATTTTATTTAAATAATCTTTGAGCGTAAGTTGTCTCTATACAATTATTACTTATTGGCTAAATTACACTAGTCCTTAAATTCATTATCAAAGTGTAAAATGGGTGAACTTAATTGATAGATAATACAGAAGACCAACACTCTAGGTGTAATATGTAACGTACATAATATTTATATCATTCATTGTCTTAATTTTATCGTGTCCACTACGTTGCTTTCGTACGTGTTCTCTTTGATATTATAAATATTGTTTGACTGCCGATAAAATTGGTTTAATATGTATGTAATCAACAAGTTATCAGATTCATTTATCATAAAATTGATTGTTTCTCTATGGGCTTTTTTCAGAGTAGTTTTGTCTAAACCAGTGAAATGAATGAACAAACCACCTTTAACTTATTCAATTTAGTGTAAGGTTAGAAAACATTTATGTACTATCATTTATTCACTTATTTAAGTGGTACATATCTTCTGAAAAGTCTATATGAAAAATTTCATGTCATAACCGAATATCAAGAGGGAACTTGTGTTCGTTACTGACAAAAGCAAGATCAGACATACGTCTTTTTTTACATTTTTATGAAACATTACGTAGAAAAACTTGATTACGAACATACCCTTAATTTACCTCAGTGTACTCAAGTAAAACTAGGTTTACATTTGGTTAAAATGGTTCGTAAAAAGAAAACCAATGTATACACTTTTATAGCTCGGTACATATTCTGTTTAGACTAAAATAACTGGTCTGAAATGTTATGCTCTTTTAGACTGTACTGTAGTCGAAGATAAGCAAATTTACCTATAGAAAGATGTTCACATAGTAAAAGCTGATCTTATACGTTCATGATGACGTCAAGGGTATATCAAATCATTTCACCCAAATAACCTCAAGGATAATAAACAACAGTTGTAACTTTACTATAAGTAGAGACTAAGAATCAACTATTTGTAATTTCAGGAAGGAATTTCGTTGTTTTTCTAAACTTTTCTATTTCAAAATTTTAATTTCATATGTCACAAATATACAATTTCTGTTGAATTATGTCTACAACACACAATAGTTCCAAATATTAATGAGAAGATAACAAGTAAAATGAGTGTTTAAAGATCCCCGTCATATTAAAATACTAGTATTTGAACGAAGAATATTCTTCTAGATAAATTCTCTTCAGGTTCTACAATTATATATCCAAATTAATAATCCGAAAAATGGCCAGGTTAAGGGTAAAGTACATCGTTTAAAGCATGTGAATTTAGGATTGTGATAAACAAAATACAATAAAATTGTTAATGTTTATATAGCTTAAATAAAATGTTAACTTGAATCTGTGTATATGCTAAGTATATGCTAAGATGAATTACCTAGAATGACCATATCATTTTGTATTTATCAGTTCGACTGCTCCTGTGTAGCGAAGTTCTAGGAATTTACATTTTCGTGCTCGTGAACACCTTACAGCGTGGCTTTACAAAGGTTTGATGAAAAAAGTGAACAGCTCAATATTAGCCCATTTAGTACAAACTGGTCATAGTGCCAGTATAAACCAATCTTTTTCAATTATTTATAAGGTCAGTAATTTTTTGCCAAAGCTGGTCAGATTGAAAGTCCTTCAAACGGCTGAAGCAGTAACCATCCGGATGGAGAAACCGGAGCTATGCGTACAGAAGAAATATATCCAACCACTCCTCCTCCCCTGGCCAACATCAAGGCCAATTAACCAATCGTAATCTTAGCTATCGGATTACGTAATTAGACCATAACCTTTCGTAGTCAATTGCAATTTTCTCTGTTATCTTTATTCGTAAATCTTTGTATTATTATTATTATTATTATTATTATTATTATTATTATTATTATTATTGGTTAAACATAATTATTAATCTCCCCTATACATGATTCGTTCACTTCGCATTCTTCCCTCCTTATTACGTCTTACTTATTTGATCGAATGGTAATTGCACTATTATTTCCCTCTCACCCTACTTGACCCATATTTATTCTGATCATGGATCTTAAAATCTCACTTAACATATACACAGATTCAAGTTAACATTCTATTTAAGCTATATAAACATTAACAATTTTATTGTATTTTGTTTATCACAATCCTAAATTCACATGCTTTAAACGATGTACTTTACCCTTAACCTGGCCATTTTTCGGATTATTAGTTTGGATATATAATTGTAGAACCTGAAGAGAATTTATCTAGAAGAATATTCTTCGTTTAAATACTATTATTTTAATATGAGTGTTGTTTTTATTGGATTTACTATCTTAAAATTTTCTGGAATGACTACAATCAAAATAATATGCAGTTAAAATTTCGATCCGATTTTCAAATACGGTTGCATGATGCTGAATACTTGTTTACTACTATAAAAAATATTTCATGTTCCCTTCGTAATTTGGCTGCGATACTAATCGTTTATGTACAGAACTTCAAAGAAATATTTTAAGGTTCAGTTATTGATGAAACGTAAATTCTCTCAGTTGATGGAAAATTTATTAATAAAGAAAAAATCTACCACAAGCTCCAATAATTATTATTTGCTCCCTAGTAAAAATACCAATCTCAGGGTATATCCTTAATGTCTAATGAAAGTTCAGTCATCTGAAGTATAAAGCAGTCGCCAAATGGAACTATCTATGATTGTCACACTATTTCTAAATGCCTAAGATTAAAGACGTAGACCAATAACTTTCAACGCAATATTTTTATGCGAACACACCTGTCGCAAACTTAAATGTATTGAACTTAATTACAGGCGTTTTAGTAAATACACATTCCTAAGAGATCTTAGCCGAGAATAGGAAAGGTTTCCTTGGTTATCAATAGTCCTCCAACAAGCGTCAGTTCGTGAAGAAGACTATCTTTATTTATGACTATTCATACGGCACATAATTTCAATTATGTGATTTTAACCATTATTAAATAGATGTATGAGGTCGTGAAAATGCCTAATTTTTGATTAATTCACACCAAAGTGGATGTAATAGATAATTTTGGTATATGTACACTAATTGAAAATTACTTTAGTGAATGAACTGTTTGAATCAGTAAATGGTTACTCATGATTCAGATTTACTATTTCATGTTACTTTAGGAAACCTTTTCACAAGTTTTATCAGTTTACTTTTCCAAAGATTACAGCCATGTTATTGCTATTGTTTAATATTCTGATTTCAAGTAAAAAATCATTTATTGAGATAGGTCGGCAAACTAACATAGAATTATTTTCAGTCCATTAATATGGCGGGATTTCTAATTTAAGCATGCGATTACGAAGAAAATGATTGAACTACACAATACGACTCATAAATCAGTTTTATGGTAAGCTTCTAATTTATATCTCAACAACTTACTATCACTTAGTGATGTGTTATAAACAAACAAATGAAAATAAAAGGCAGTGACTAATGTTGTAAACTTTGAAATGCTGATTTGTCAGAGTACATTGTAATCTAAACAAAACCAAAATCTGAATTATTATCAATGCATCACAGCAAGGGTTGTTGCAAATCAAAAGAACCTGAAAAACAAATCTTCATATTCTATCTATTTAAACAAATTTAAAATAAATTGTATTTTTGGAAGAATAAAGTGAGAGATTCTTAATCAAGTTTTATTTATCAAGGAAAATCTCTGTATTTCTTCCCAGAACAATGCGTTATGTAATGATGACCTTATTTTCCATAAAACTAAAAGCAAATAACTATGTACTTCAAAAGAGGTTTCCTATTTACTTATATATTTCTGCACTTTTATAGGTAAAGGATACTTCTTTAGCATTATAACAAACGAAACTGTTTTCATTATGATTTTGTCATTAGACAACATTCAAATACAAGATATTGTTAGATTAGAATTTATATTTTACTCATAATCGTGAGTTTTAAAAGTCATCTTCATGGGTTGTTTTCATGCTAACAAGCAAAAACCTAGAACGTTTTTCTGTTACGACACTAATCGGTGTATATTTAAATTGAAGGTTGTTCCTATATTATAAAAACTCTTTACGAAAGAAGGAACCAGGACAAATTTTTTTAAGAACGGAAGTTAAGCAGCTATCAAGACAATAATGATCAGTTTTATGAGGGGCTGCAATTGATCATAGCAAATTGCTCAGGAAAGGATCTGACTATCCTGACGGGAGATCTTAACGTTAAGGTCTGGGTGAACAACACCGGACATAAAGATATCATGCGACGACATGGACTGTAAGAAATAAACGAGAATGTCGACAGGTTTAATAAACTATGCGCTTGCAACAAATTGGTCATAGGCGGCACAATACTCCTCCACAAACTGATATGCAAAGCTACATGGATTTCACAGGACCACACTACAAAGAAGTACATCAATCATATTCACATCAATTAAAAGTCCAGAAGGTCAATTAGAAATGTGATAACTGGGAGAGGAGCTGACATAACATCAGATCACCGCCTGGTAGTTGCCAAGATGAAACTAGAGCTAGAGAAGCACTGCACAATTGGAGAAACAGCATTACAAAGACTCACTACGGTCTTCCTTCGAGATACTGACAACCTCGAGGATGTCACCTCTCATCCTTCCTCTCTCTCCTGGTGGTTGACTGAACCATGAAGACCTCGACATCTCAGGGGAAGCACACAATTCAATGGACAGCTTGTATGCAACCAGATGATTTGAAGTTCGCAGATGACCTGACCCTTCTAACCCATACATACCAACAATTACAGATGAAGACAACCAGTGTAGCAGTACACTCTGCATAAACAAGCCTCAACATACACAAGGGAAAAAGCAAGATCCTCAAATACAACACAGAGAGCACCAACCCAATCACACGTGATGCAGAAAGTGTGAAAGAGGTGAAAGCTATCACGTACCTGGTCAGTGTCATCGATGAACAAGAAGGATCCGATGCAGATGTCAATGCAGGATTGAAAAAGCAAGCACAGCATTTC